GGGGTCATCGAAAACGGACGTGCATGGACAAGGGGGAGGGGGGGGTCAATTTGGGGTCAAAAACCGCGGACGTACTTAATGGATAGCCCCTAATCTCGACCAACAAGGGGGTGGTTGTGTTGCGAAATGGATCCTCCACTAAGACTCCTTGTTAGTGGGTCGCCCGGACGGTCCCTGACACCGCCCCTTGCAGCATCATCTCTCTTGCGGACACGACAGTGTTGCAGGATTGCATACTCGCTAGAGCCGCAGGAGGCATCGCGCGGCGCCCTTACGGGCAACGGGGGTGGGCCAACCCGTTTGGGTCCGCCCCGAATCACCCGGTACTTATTGAATTTGACACTGAAGTGGTCGAATACAATGTAATTTGGGGTGTCTCAAATGTATACGCCAAAAGGCGTTTGCTACAGGATCCCGAGCAACATTTGGCGGATAGTTTTGAGACATCTTTTGGCGTATAGATTCTAGACATCTTTGCCTATCTTTGACTATCCGCCACATGTTGCTCGGGATCCTGTAGCAAACGTCTTTTGGCGTATACATTTGAGACACCTCCCAATTACAGTGTAGGTTAGGTACCTCATCAACTTCTGCCCATTTTCTAGTCCATACGTTTATTTTACTAGTTTATATTTAAAACATAAGATTGAATGTTTACCTTGCGTCATAGTAGAGTACAGTCTTCAGGAATTAATTTAATAATAAAACGCTGTTTATGTCAGAAAACAGTGTCGTATTATTGCTGTCCAGACCGCGAGGTGTCTTCTTGGCGCAGGGTTAGACCTTGAGCTCGCTATCAATGAAGGCTCGGATCTCAGCGCTGGCCACGTCCGTGTAGACCCCCGGGTAGCCCATCTGCGCGCAGCCCAGGGCCCAGGAGATGATGCCGACCTGCTGGCCGGTGGCCTTGTTGATGGAGGGGCCGCCGGAGTCACCCTGCCAACAACCCACGTTAGGACCAAGGACCAGCAACGCAGGCAGCGCAGACACCGAGAACCCATACCTGGCAAGAGTCCTTCCCCTCGGCCATGCCGCAGAACATCCTCTCCGTGACCTCGTTGGTGCTCGCGTAGTCGGACGCGCACTCGCTGTTGTCGATCGAGGTGACCTCCACATCCTCCAAGTTGATCGCACTCTCTGTGTTGGCGGACTGTGCGGGGGGAATAAGCTGTCAGTGAAGGACACTGGGTGGCAGTAAGGGATCATCCAGAAAGTACGTCCCTCATTATTATTCGCCGTTCCGAACCTGCTAAGTTTGGCCTCTGCGAGAACGCATAGCGCCTGTTGGGTAGGCAACATCTTGTCTACAGCGCACGCGTGTACTGCAGGGTAGCCTACCCCGAGTTTCGCAGGCGCCGAGCTCCCGTACTTTCTGAACGATCCCTACGGGGCTGTCGTGGGACGACGCACGGGCTCCGCCCGGTTTCACTCAGTTTGAATATTCGCGCCCTATGGACCACCTTCGTCTCATACTCACGTCCTCGAAGCCCCACCCGACGAGGACCAGCGGCGTGCCGGCCTTGACGGTGGTCTTCACCTTGGCGAGAGCCACCGCCTTGGTCGTCTTGCCGTCCAAGACCAGCGGCTGGCTGAGCTTGAGCACGGCCATGTCGTAGTCGTACGTGTCCGGGTTGAACTTGGCGGGCACGCTGATCTTGGACAGGGTGCGCTCCTGGCCGCCCAGCTTGCGGGAGGTGGAGCCCGCCCGCAGCTTGTACAGGGACAGGGTCTTGTTCCTAGTGGGGACAAGTGTTTAGGGACTGGTGTCTGCCCGACCCGGTGGACGCGCTGCTCGGCACACACACGGCGCCACTTACAGGACACAGTGGGCCGCCGTGAGGACGTGGCTCGCGTCCAGGATGGTGGCTCCGCACTGCTGCTCGTAGGAGTCGCCCTGGAGAATCCCGATGGAGACCTGAAGGAAAGGCCAGAGTGAGTGAGTTGCAGGGCAGCCCGCCCGAGGGAGTTGCACAGCTCCGCGACCCTCCGCGTCCTCCTCCTGGCGGCCTATACCCCTCCCTCCGCACTCCTCACCATGTACGGATGCGCCTCGATGGTTGAGAGCTGTCCGCCGATTATCTTTTTGGTGTTCAACCAGGACGGGTTGGATCTGCTCTTAGCTAACTCGCCGATATTCACCGTCGCCGTTTGGCCTGCAAAAGAGGCAACGTAGTCACGCCACCTGCTCGTCTGAATTGAACGACACTCGCAATATACCATCACAGTTCGGAACTCACCCGCCCAGCCCTCCGAGAGCACGGCGGCCATGACGGCGAGGACGAGCGCGCGAGGGTGGAACTTGGTGGACATGATGTTGGTGTGGTGTGGGCCACGCCTCGGACCACTGTGTCGCGCTCGTATTTAAGCATGAAGACGTCGAGCCTCCGCCGCGGTCATGGCTAAACAGTAAAAGTGGCTCACCGCACGACATCGATCCACGATGTGGATGCGGCGGGTAACATGTGGGCACCTGGCTCGGGAGACCGGCGCACATCGGACATCGGGACAGGGAGGGAGGGGGAATGTCAGAATAAGAAAGTAAAATAAATTTTGAGTCAGAGACAGAGCGATGTTTCCTGCGTATATAAGTTTTTTTTAGTGTTTATATTTTCCAAAACTTTGAATTTCGGCCTTGCAGGTCCCCTCGCCGCACCCCTTTCGAAGGGACATGTAAACGACCTCTCGGCTCCCACGAAAGAAGTCGAAGAAAATTTTCTTGAAATCTTTTGATACATGTTTCTTTCCCGTACTTTTAGGGCGCCCAATACTGAGCATGTTTTTGGCAGACGACAATCGCTGGTCAAACACAAAAAGAGTGCATAAACTTGTCACATTCTGGACTGGAATGTATCATCGCATTCCTCATTTAACTCAGCGTCGAACTAGCCTACATGTCCTACTTGGTGGCAGAGTTCTGATGATAAACGGTCAGCAAATGAGAAGCAAGCGAAAAAAACAAAAAGTGCAACCAATTTTTGTTAATTTTGAACAGAACCCCACGCAGGTTCGTTTAAATTTTCCGTGGATTACGAAAATATGTCTTAGAATCCAATTTGATTACAGAGGGTTTTTTTTTGGGGGGGTGGGGGGGGAATAATAAATCGTAATGCCTTTATGGAGCTTTAAAGCCTCGTAAAGGTGCTACCTTAGTTTTACCAGTGCGATTGCCCTGTCTCGTTTCACTTTTAGTATCCATCTAAAAAGAAAGTCTAATTTTCTCGGATTAGTTCGGCAAATTACGAGGGCTCGGCGCCTGCGAGAAACATGGTAGGCCCGCCCGCAGTACACGCATGCACTGCAGGGAGAGTTTTGCCTACCAATCAGGCGCTATGAGAGCTTGCAAAGGCTGGATGGGGACACGGGGACGGGTGAAGCAGCTCTGGAAGTACTCGGCCATGTCACAGGACAGTTCGCGGGACCACCCTAACGGCTTGCGGTCGCTTTTTTACCTACCAACAGCTGTAAATCCGAATTTTGCTTTAGCTTTAGAAAGGGTTTAAGACTGCTTGTTCATGGGTAAATTCATCGTCTAAATGCGACTGTTGAAAAGTGGGTGAAACGTTTTTCACCTCATCTGAGTATGACTGCAGATTAGTTGATAAATACGCAATGTCACAGAGACAGTTCGCAGGACCAGCCCGAGGGCTCGAAATGCAGGGTATAAGTTAAAAAATTCCGAGGGGCCCACAACTCTGGAATTCAGGTGTACAAAGCCATCGAAATCTTTGGAAATCTTATTGAAATCAGTGAAATCTTTGAAATCAGTTGAATTCTCTTGAATTCACTTGAAATCTGTTGAAATCACTTTGAATTCACACGAAATCACCTTGAATTCACACGAAATCACTTTGAATTCACACGAAATCACATTGAATTCACATGAAATCACATTTTAAAAGCGTCTCGGGAAATTCACTCAAATCCAAATCTGTGAAAATCATGCAGTGTGGGGAGAGGAGGGGAGCAGTGTGCACCAACCTGTTCGGCTAGCGGGCCGTGGCATCGTGCTGTGACCAGTGCTGTGCAGGTAGCAATGGTCGGCTTTAGGCCGGGCGGCCGTGCTAGGGTCGAGCTTCGAGCCTCACGAGGGGGCCGATGGTCATCTGCGCCGCGTGTACCTGGGGGAGTTAGGGGGCCGGGAGTAAATGCCGGCGCTGCTGCCGGGGTTCGCGCGGACCGGCCATCTGCGCCGGGCCGCTCGTGTGATCCCCTCTGGCTGAAAATGCCCATCCGCGCCGGCTGTGATGTTGGTTGCCTATTCGTAATATTGCGGGCGCCGTGCACCGGCCGACATGTGCGGGTAAAGATACTGCCAATGCAGCGTTGCACTTCGCTTTGCTTTAAAGTACAATGAGGCAAACCCAAACTAACAAACCTAATTTAATACAGCAGATCAGTAAAGATACTGCCAATGCAGCAATCCGCTTTGCCTTTAAATAAAATGAAGCAAACCCAAACTAACAAACCTAATTTAATACAGAAATCAGAAATGGTACTATCAGTGAAGCGTTGCACTCCGCTATCGCTCCGCGCAACGCTTTGGCATGGGTGCCCTCGCTCTCTGAGAACGAGCGATGTCCTTTAAGATGTTTTCGAAAGAGACGTATAATACATTATAGCGATCAAAACGAAACAATCTTTAATTCAGGAACAAAATTCAAATAAGTGAATAAGCAAAAGTGAAGCGTTGCACTCCGCTATCGCTCCGTGCAACGCTTTGGCATTGAGTCCTGAACCTTAGGTTCGAGTCGTCCCAGCGCACACGCCGGCGCA